ACCCAACCATCCCCCAAATCCACCTACGGCCGCGCAGACGCACCACCCTCCCCCCGCCCACCCAAATCCACCACAACGCACACCAGACCGCCCCAAATCCCCGCCTCCAAAGCAAAAGAGAAACTCAATCCTCCAGACTTCACCTACGCTCCTGCACTCAACGTCCCCGCCCGCGCCGAAAAACAATCCTTCATATCTCACCTCTGGAAATGTGGTCGCGCTTACCTCTCCTTCTACAAATCCGGCGTCGCCAACACGCGGCAAACCGCCAAACTCGCGCGGTCCCTGCGCGCGAAAGCCGGGCCTACGGGCACGGTTGATGACGCCGCGCAGCTGACGCGCGCGGAGTGGCAGGTGGTGCGCAGGAGTCGCAAGGACATGTTACGATTACCTGCATTTGGCGTGATATTCCTAGTATTCGGCGAGTGGACACCATTACTGGTCAAGTTCCTGACGCCGATTATTCCCGAGCCGTGTCGGGTGCCGGGACAGGTTGAGGCGGATCTCAGGAAGAGGGAGGCCAGGAGGATGGATCGGCAGAATAAGGGTGTGGAGCGGATGACGAGGCTGTCGAAGCGTGAGGACGTGCCGGCTCAGGTGAAGCCCGTGGGGTCGGGGTCGGAAGGACTGAGGCATAAAAATTTCGAGACGGATGAGCATTTTATGCTGTATGTTGAGAGTACGCGGTATGATTGCCACGGCAGGGTGTGGGATTTGATCAACGTTACGCCGCCGCGGTGGTTGCTGCGCAGGAATCTCGCCAGGACGGTGGAGTATTTGAAGAAGGACGATGAGTTGATTATAAGGGATGGAGGGTGGCAGGCGCTGGGCGATAGAGAGGTCAGGCGGGCGTGTGTGGAGCGTGGGATTTATGTGCTGGGGAAGACGGATGAGGAGTGTAGGAGGTTTTTGGGCGAGTGGTTTGGGGCGAAGAAGTAGGGATTGAGGGATTAGAAAGAGCATGGTTGTAGAGAGGGAGATTCAAGGATGGGGATGAGATATGTTAGGATGACATGAATGTATGCACGGCTTTGAGAGTGCGATGATTGCGTGTATATCCGCACACTTGGACGATGGATCCATCTTCCCATCCTCAGCGTTCTGCAAGATGTAGAGTAATTCGTCATCAGCTGGAGCAACACACTTCTAGCCAAGATCTCCAGTGCAATAGTTGGATTATAGCAATGCCAGCAAGCAATTTGCCATTCCCAGATCAATCCCCGTGGATTACTGAGAACTCGCTCTTATAATGTCTACGCTCTTCAATCTAAGACTAAAAATCCGATTTCAGGTAGCGTGCTCTATCCGAAAGCTCCGCTGAATGCTTACTTCTTGGTAGCATAATCCGTTGGTAATTCGAGTGCGATTTGGAGAAAGATAATCTGAGAAAGCTAATCACTCTCAAATAGAACGAAGCAGGACATTTGTGTCCACATGATACTGTATAGCCCAGATTTTTCTTCCCTTCTAAAGTGACTACCTCGTATTTCCCTTCATATTATCGTTTGGTATGTCATTGGCCAAGGTTCAGTAGACCTTGCACATAGCCTCTGAGGTGATTTGAGTGATGTAACTCGATAAAGAAGGCGGTTTTAGGTTGGATGATTTCGCTTCACCAGAAGAGCTGGAAGTTACTATTGGGTAGTGTTATCCAAACCTGTTCTCTGCATCGTTACCGCTCATTGCCGGCTGTACGACGTTGAATTGAGTAGCGGATGAAACGCTTCCCAGGATCATATTCTTAATCCAGGGCGAGTTTGAGTTTAAGATCTTGCTACGGCTTGTTGATGCTCAATCTTTCTTCTCTTCGGAGGGTTTACGGTTGATCGGCATCAAGCTCTCTCACCCGTTCTGTTATTTTTAGTGATCCTAGTTCGGGCGAAAATGCACCGGGCTCTCGAGAGCGCCTCGCATTGTTGATTAATCTGGTTTGAGTGGAGACTAGTAAGCCCTACCGGTCATTACTTCGTATAGATGTAAGCTCAAGCGATGCAAACATAATCCTAGTAAGGGATGCTTGACTTGCGAGCGAGCAGAATAAATGCCGCGATAACATACACCTTTCTAGAATTATGCTAGGGACTTTATGCCAACGATTAAGAAGGAGTGTAGAAAATAGGTGCAAGAGAGCTGCTGAGTAAGCAGAGGGGGAAGAGCGCGTTAGCGGACATGTACGCAACCTTCGGGAGATCACTGGAAAGGGTTTGCAGATGTGAGACTATTGTAGGTTAGATAGCCTCTGCTAGCATTTCATTAAAGCTATAGTACGAGGTCGAAGACCCTGATCAGCTCGGCGCGTCAGGACGCGGAGATCGCTTGCTACAAAGGGTAGAATCTAGACGTACGAAGGAGCTCGTTTTTTCTGAGTTGTACCCCGAAAAACAAGCCTAACCTCCACACTCCACTATTCTACAACGATAGGGTAATAAATCCTGCGATGAGGAGTAGTCCTAAGGGATAGTATGAAGAGCACTATCGTAAATTTTAAGAATAATTAGCCTAAAGGTTGTTGCGTTGTTGCTGTGCGCGCACTGGGTCTTGGTGAGGGCTGCAACTCAGAAAATACGAGCTCCTTCGTACCACGTGGCTAGCTTCCTTGCGGAGCCACGTTCCGCACGAAAACTACTGGACACGCGCTCGTATGGACAGCAATAATCTTAAGCGTTCCGGAAAGCTAGTTTGTTTAGTTTCGTGTTTGCAATGACCGACCAGACGGGTGAGGACGCGAAGATCGGATGCCACCTAGAATCATCATGCAGAGGCGCTCCCGCGTGGCATTGAGACTAGGTACAGGTCGTAAAAATGTTCCTGCCCGACTCGCACGCCTTTTTCCTGCTCTTCCTCGTCTGCGTCACGGACCTCTTCTTCACTCTGGATAATTAAGCTTCTCTCCACCCCGGCAGGCGTAGACGTTAGTTAGTCAACGAAGTATGCGCTTCCCACTAGCTTCTGTGCATCGTCACACATAAGATCTAGAGCTTATTCGCTGGCTCAGCCTGACAACGTGCACTTGTACACAGTAAGCGCTTCTCTTCGCGGACACTCTAGCGGGTTTCGGCTCTGTCAGCGCCGTATCCAGGCCGAGAGTGCACCAGTATCACATGGTCTATCTAGCTGAGGTATCTGGCTCCGGTAATTCGACACCGGCAAGCCAGAGTTAATCGCCTCGACTCATTCACGATCATAGACTCTGGCGGCTTCCTGATCAGGGTTAAAGTACTCCTCATTTTCCAGAGTATGTGGTACCACACGATACTTTCAACATGGTATCAGCTCAACTGCCGAGTACGACTTCGATACATCGTCTTTGATTTAAAAGGGCCGGCCTGCTCAGCTTATATCGTACGTTTCTCTGGGAAGGGCTAGAACTCTAGTGCTGAAAGGACCTGATGATGACTAGGAATCCATGGATCAATTCTGTACACATGGCTCTATTCTACGTATTCTCATACATGTAGGGCCGACATAGGACCAAGGTGGTTATTAGACGTCGTTGCATGGACAGTCACATGTGATCTGACAAAATTTCTGTATATAAAGTGAGTTTCCGCGAACTCAATCAAACCACAGTTCTCTTCAGCTCTACTCAACTATCAAAATCATCTCCGACCTTCGTCTACCTGTATCAAGTTCTGACTTTGTTCGCAAAGTCTAAGCATCGTAAGTATACACTACACCTTGCTGCAAGCAATGGCTTATAATATATAGACCATGCGTTCTACTATCGTACTTCTTCTCAGCGCCGCTGCTGTGCTCGCTGCACCAGCCCCTGACAGCGAAGTCTTTACAAAAGATTTTGGAGCCTATAGCGCTCCTGAAGTCGCCAACGCTCCTGAAGTCGCCAACGCTCCTGAAGCTGTCAAACGTTGTTCCTCGCGCGGACTGTGTTCTACCTGATTATGTCGAAATCGACCCTACGAGGAAGTACACAAAAGAGGAATTTGATGCTATTTGGGACCCAAAGACGCATTGTGGCAGCTCCTCCGCTAGTGCGAAACGCGACCTAGGCATTATTTCTCACGAGCCTCCGTCCAATGCCGTGGTTCCTAGAGCTATCGAGAAGGGTCTTTCGAACAAAATCGGTATTAGAGCAGATTTCAGTTGCCCTAGAACTGGGGGGGCTGCTCTCCCATTAACCCGGAACATGATATCCCAATGCACAGTCGCTGCGCAGAACACAGGCGATACTATTGTCTACCCAATTTGGAAAAATATTGAAAACTCTGAAAGGTTCAGTATTGTCGGCAGGGCAGAGGCTAGAAGAGACGGTTTTCAAAACAACAACGCATCACATAATTTCTCGCCGTCACTTTCCGCGAACCGCAATTTATTTGCTTCTTCAGGATGGGAATGCCTCTAACTTGCGAATGGGACACAATTAACCTAAACGTTAACAAAATGAGAGCCGCCCCGACAAAGATGTGGGAAAAATGCGTGCCTATTTCAGAAGGTGGCTGTGGGTCTGTTTTTCCAGACACGGAATGTACTCGTCTCTCATGGCACGGTATCTAATAAAGGATCAGGATCTGCATCAGGAGTGATCAGGAGAGTGATCTGAAGAGAGATGGAGACGGAGCGAAACCGGAACGCCAAAGGCCAAGGCTGTCCACATACTCATTTGGTCATTTACACACTTACACGGAACCGGGGATCTTATTCTCACCGTAAACTTATTTCTAGCTCCTAGCTACCCTCTTTTATAGCTACTTTTGAAATTCTATACCACAACATCTCCTTGCCATCGCTTCACATGCAACTCGCTTGACTCGAAACACACACACACACACACACACACACACACACACACGTGCGACAACCCATCAGCCGGAAAATCTCGCATACAAATAGATGAGTCCTAACATGCTACTTTCATGCACATGATGGTGATGTGGTTCGTTGTACCCACCCATGAATCTGCCGTAGACCCACATCGCACAATGCAATTTTCAACCAGCATTCTGACTCGTACATCACCAACATCACTGTAAGCACCCCATCTTGAAGGCAACAATAACACAGATACGTATGTATTTGTAGAGTACATTAATGACATATTTTTACCGTTTGTCAACCAATCAGCAACGGGCTCGTGGTTTAGTGGTATAATACTCCCTTAGCATGGGAGTGGTCCGGGGTTCGAGTAAGTTCACTTCAATTCAGCTGGTTCGATTCGCATTTCTGACTGGAAATAGTTCCCCGCGAGTCCATTCGTTCGTTTTTTGCTGTTGAGGTGTAGTGACGTGAATTGGGCGACGTGATGGTGCTAGCGGTGTCTTTTTTTTTACTTCGTTCCTTTTAGCGTATGAGTAAGCGTTTGATACATATTATCCCTTGGATTGAGATCGCTCGAGCAATTGTTAGTTGCTCGTTGCATAATTTGCACATTGTGATTTTCAAGGCTGCTTTCGATCCTATCTTTTGGCACGGAATGTTCATTCGACATCTGCCATGTTTGCTCGTTGCTGGCAACATGCAGTGAGGCCCCGATCAGATCAACAATTTCACACAGCTACAATTCCACCATTTTCGCACTGCGTGCCTGGCGCAACCGCTTGCGGAGGCTCGATACCAGCTGGCGAACACACGCTGAACGTGGTCGTTGAAACACAAACAATACCTGTCGTACATGCAGGCTTTAACGATGTCGGTGCCAGCCATCCCGGATATCGGAACGCACCACTGCACGTTGTCAGTCGGAGGAGGAACCATAGTATTGGAGCCACTCACCACGCGCAGAAAGTTCCAGGTGGCACAATGCCTTGCTGACCATTCCCACACGACCAGGTAGATAGAGTCGGGCATTGCATGATCACACTTCCACAAGGCTGTCCGCCAGGCGATGGGGCAACGCCACTACAATCGTAGGTAACGGTGCTGTTCGCTAGCACACCAGCATTAGAAGTGCTGGTATCATTGTTTTGGCCCCGGAAAGGGATCTCGTCACCTGGCTGGTCTTTTGGCTTCGACGTGTTGCCTAGCGGAGGTAGCGATTTATCAACTTTCTCGTTGTCTCCGCTGATGTCGAAGCAAATTTGGGCAATGGTTTTTTCGAAGTACAGACCTTTCACCTCAGTGTTCACGGAGAATGATCCAGGGTCAATTTCAGCCCCTACTTTAACGCCAGCCCCAATCCCTGCTGAGAGCTTGAGCGCCTCTTTGAAGGGTCCCTGTAGTTTGCATTTACCGTCGACGTCTAATGATATGTTAATATGCAACTCTGGAAGTCAGGATGGACTGGCTTGAACGTACTTTGGGCCAGTGCAGCACAAAAGTTGACCCTTGGAAGATCCAGTCGTGCGAACACGGAAATGGAGGCATTAACTTCGTTTAGGCTAGCTCGAAATTCGACCGCTGGCCCCAATGCAATGAAGCCGCAGATTTCCAATTTTTTCGTTGCGAAAACAGGGGTGCCAATTTGAACGGTCGCGGACTTTGTCAAATTGCCGGTAGACAGCCCGTCCCCTAAGAAGTCCTTCTCTAACTGCCCATATTTGGCGACACCCACGGTGGCGGGCAGTTTGCTGTTTTCAAAAATGCGTTAATCGAGTTGGGGATCGCCGCGGATGTGGAGGGTAACTTACACAGTGATACCAGCCTCTGCTGTCAATCCCACTGCTATTCCCAAGCTCAATTTAGGATCGAATGTCAAACCAGAGATCTTCATGCAATCAGCAAACGTATTCCCAGTATATCACTTGCTCTCACCTTTGTAGCATTGCCGTTTCGGCTCGGCCTAGGCTGGAATTGTTTTCCTCGTCCCGTGCTGCCTTTCAAGCACGTGCCAGGATAGGCACATTCGACTTGAACATTGACAGTAGCTGCAGCCTCTATACTGAAATTCCCATCAATAGCATCTAGTACCTTCAGTCCAATCCTCGCCGTATTGAACGGGTTGTCGAATCTTCCAAGGTCGCTTAGGTCGAAGTCAAGATCGAAATAGGCGGCCACTCTGCCTGTGAGTTTACAATTGACACACGCAATACTCATGCCACTATCATGGAGTAAGCGACTAGTTCATCTCCAATGACCGGGTGATACACGTACTTGAAGCTGATGATGTCCTCCCTTGGTGCAAAGTCGCCAAGCTCGTTGAGATCGAAGGTCCATGGTGAGCTCTTCAGATCTCTCTTAGCCATGACACTGTATTCTTCGAGCGCGCTGCGTCTTCTCAACTTCGTCCGAAGCTCAGCGTTCATGGGACCGCCCTGGAACCGTAGGTTCGAGCTCGCCTCGGGTGTCTTGCCAAGTGGCGAAAGTCGCGCAGTGACGATAGCCGTGAGATTCTCAAGGTCATATGCTATCGTGAATGCTCTGAGTTCGTTAGCGTTGTGTATTAGGTTATGAGAGTGTGGCATATACTTGTAGACCTCTCTCTCCCTCCAGTGGGTTGCATGTTGCGTGATGTGTAATGAATAACAGCTCAGTGTGTAGGGACCACAGGTTACGTGCAACAGCCATAGTTCCAATAGTGTCGAAAACAAACGTCAAGGTAGTAGAGTTGTCAATGACAGATGAGGAGCATGTCAAGTCGGCGAGGAGGTGCTCAAGCTTCTCCACAGAGACGTATACAGCACTATTGTGGCTTGTAGTTACCTGCACAACGTATGGGGCATCGTTCTGAGATTCTGCGACCCGTTAGCATACATTGGAATCGAGTGTTCTATGGCACAAGGCAAGTACACCTTCCATGTAGTAGAGGTCGACAGATGGGACAGGCTGTAGACATTGTCGCATATTTTCCCCTCGTGTTCGTATGGACGAAACTTCATTGAACATGCTGACGGGCAGGAAAATGCCAACGGCCGACTTAACGCACAGTGCAGCCACGAAGCATGATGGAAAGATTTTCATGGTAATTGAGAGTCAGGCTGGAGAAATAATCGAGAGTTAGGCTAGAAAAGTAATCAAGAGTAAGGCTGAGAAAGAGTTCGAATGAAGTGCGAATCAGTACCTCATCGATCGATGAAATTGACTAAAAGGTCGCGGCAGCTGAAGGCTATATACCTCGACTACAAGGTCTACTGCTTTCCACAGCCTGCCTCTGACCTTCCGATGCCACCCTCTGGTGGAGGCTAAGTGCCTACAGACTTCTGCTTGTACACACACTTTGGGGCCCAATTTTAGGCTCGACTACATTTTTCTACAATGAACGTACGGATCAAATAGGAGATGTAAGACATCGCCGGATCAGTCCTAGTAACACAATGGTCCTTTAAGCATGATGTGCTAAGTATGGCATTATACGGTCGTTTGAAAATTCTAGCCGTGGAAAGGTGCAGCAGTGAAGGTTGATGGCTTGACGAGCGTCCCACTACTTGTTCTGATGCGGCTGCTGCGCCCGCTCTTGTGATGACACGAGCTGCGGGCGTTATCGCCCCCAAAGAATCGCCGGAGTCCATCTAGCTTATTTGCACAGTCAAGCTTTGCCTAGATGCCTACGGTACATATGAATTTTGAAATTATGTTGCTATAGCCAAAGGTCACCTACCTACCAATCTCGAATGCGAAAGAACCGCTATGGGCTCACTGCGGGTGCTTATCAAAGGGTCGAGACGTGTAGCCTGCCATGACTTACAGTGACGCGCTGTCCAGAGGACTTCTCGTAACCATTTTGTGCCAGTTCCTCGAAAGAGTTGGTCGTATGGTTAATGGCAGGGAGTGCGGATGCATCTGGGCTGTTCTGCGGCTGTGCTTGAATTGCGGCTGAAGAACGCGGGGCAGTCGCCCATGATTTGACCGCACAAATAGCCCACGTATTTGTTTTCTGTTGTTTCTGAAAAAGAGAGATTAAGACGAGGATAAGGATTGTATGTAATCGGGGCTGCTGGTTCTGGCCTTTCAGATTTGGTAGTTTTGACAAGGTATCGGTGATTCTTCAGGTAGGACCGCTTCACCCCCGAAGCGGTACGTTAAAGGTTTCTGACACACTCTAGTCGATGTTGGAAACATCTAGTTCGTTGCTTAATTAGTCGTGCTGTTTCGTATCAATCAAGCACGTATCTAAAGCAAGTTAAATTCTTAGTCCGTGCAAGCTAACTAGAACTATTACAGTTAATTGGAGTGAAGTCTGAGATTTTAAAACGTTATGCGCCGAACAGAGGAGTAGAGCGGTCAAACTTGAGAATCGCAATGGATTTCGGCATAGTAAGTTCGAATTCATCGACGTTGATAGGTCATGGCTGCTTCCTTAACAGTACTGAGAAGCTCGCACGTTCAATGACTACACCAGGCGGTGATGATATATCTGCCAGCCCTGATCCAACTAGAAGAGGTGAGGAAGTAGTCTGTATATTTCACCCGAGGAATTGGATGGATTGTCTTACAGCTGCGTAAAGATCCAGGCTCCTTTAAAAGTATTGGCTCATGTCGTGTCAGTGCAGAGTGGGCACAAACTCTGCCGGTGCCTGGTGAACATGCCAGCCACACCGGATCTCGAACACATCCAATCACTGCCATCAAGGAATAACTAATGTGCTGAAGGCGCCTTGACCTTATCTCCTGCTTCGGAGCCGTTGCCCTGCTGCACTCCCACTCCCTCACTCTCGATCACCGGAATATGGATCGGATGTCCCTCAATGATCTCCGACACATCCGCCTGGACCTCGCACTTGATCTCCCGCATACCCTGCACCTTGCCCACCTTTAGCCCGCAATCAAGCCACGGTCCTGGCCACGGATAGCACCGTCCCACGCGCCTCCCATCGAGTCCATACAGCCCACCGTCATCCGCTTTGTAGTACGCTACACAATTAGTCTGCGCCTCACCAGTCCTCAGAATTTACGTGACTTACTCCAGTGATGACATTTGCGAGCGAAATTTACTTCCATGATATCGATGTTGAGAGGACCATTGTCCTGCCCAAGCCAGCCACGATCACAACCTTGGCCCTCACAGCGAATCCCGAATTTCCCGCCGCTGACATCGTCTAACCCGGGCCATAGACAGTCCAGTGCGTTGTGGCAGTTGGCTTCGTTCTGGTAGACTTGCCAGCCTCGACGTTGGGGGTGAGGCCGTTGCCGCCGAGACCGACTTGGTATAGCTCGAAGTCTGCGGTGACGGCAGGCAGCAAGATGGCCAGCGGGAGTACAGGGAATATCATTGTGGAAGAGGCGCCGTGACAGTACTCGCAGGAGGAAGGCAACACTTGAGAGCGCGTTGGAGCGGATGGTAGGGCTGGATCTGTGCGAAGAGCATGAGCTAGCGTCTTCATTGGTTTGATTTTTCTCGCTGTAGTCCCTCCTCTCACCTACAGCCCACCAATCAAGACTACCGACAAGCAACTCACGGATTTCGATCGTCTCTGGTGAGAGTGAGGGGCCATTCCTATGTCACCCGCGATACTGGTAAGCCAAGGTACAATCACACTGCAGACCCAAAACAGCTGGAGGCGAGGGTAAAGTCGTCCAACAATAGGGGCTGCGATATCACGAAAACACAATTCAATAAGCAAAGAAGATAAAATCAAATTACGACCCCATGTCAACCAAGCTCGAGCGTTCTTGCCACAGCGAGCATCAAGAAGAGAAGTCCGAATATCTATAACCCTTGTCAAAGAAAGTGTCGAAAGAAAGTTTTACTATGTATGCTTCACGCCTCAACGTCCATCCCTCCCCCCTCCAAAACGATGCGGCTATGTGAACCACATACCCATCTACCACACATTAGCCTCATGATCCCATTCACATTTTGAACTCATTCGCTCACCAATCCCCTCTTATTGTCCCTGTTCCCCGCATATGTCGGCACCGCATACCCACCCGATGTGGTCGCCGTAGAACTCGATGTCTCAACAGACGCGCTACTCGTCACACTGAAGCTCGTCTCGAACGTCGAGCTAGGCGGGTTAGGATCCCAGCTGAAAGACGTGGCGTCCGTGTATGTCGATGCGAACTCGGAGGGCGACGAGCGCGGCGGGTAGCCGGAGCTGGAAGAGCTGGGAGGGTTGGGGTCCTGGCTGAAGGACGTGGCGTCGGTGTAGGTGGTAGCGGGGGATGTTGAGGGGGACGAGGAGGAGGGAGGGTAGCTGGGTTGAGGAGATGGGGTGACTGTAGACACGGGTAAGGAGACGGATGTTGCGTCTGTATCTGTTGCGGATGTTGGGGAGGGTGGGAGGATCGAAGGGATGGAAACAACAGTCGACTGGACACCAGTGGGAGTGGGAGTGTAAGAAGACCTAGTACTCAACCAAGGAGTCTTTGAAGGATTGACTCTCGTGCTGCTCGAAGAATATCCCGTGGCGTCCGTTGAGCTTGAAGCCGTTGGCTCATCTGATGTTGCAGAAAGTGTTACCGTAGAGAGGAATACCGAAGTTTCTGACGACCTGGAAGAGTCGATTGAGCTACTGGAGTCTATTTTCGTGGTGGTGGTTGAAAAAAAAGAGTAACTTATGGTATCTGCAGAGCTTGGGGCAGGAGTTTCTGAGGAAGTCGTCGGGGAAGATGACGTGCTCGGTGAAGGGGTGTACACCGATGAAGAAGAATCGCTCGATGATGGCTCAGGTAAGGAGAAGGTGCTGCTGACAGAGTAAGAGACAGCATCAGTAGTGCTTGTAGACGGTTGCTCAGGCAGAGACCAAGTAGTCGTAGATGGAGGGTCAGGCACGGACCACGTCACATTCAAAGCCGAAGAGTAGGATGTGTCATCGGTAGTACTTGATGCAGAAGACTCAGATAGAGAAGCACTGGACGTGACCGACGGTACGACGGGAATAGTCACGGTCACCACCACTGTACTGAGGACAGGGGTGGGCGTATACGACACATCCTCAGTAGAACTAGAAGGTGTGGGCGTGTACGATACATCCTCAGTCGTGCTTGAAGGTGTAGGAGTAGGCGTCAAAGTGTCTATAATGGTACTAGGTATAATCGAAGTATCCGAGGTCGAATTAGCCGGAGGCGGACCAGAGTATCCAGATGTCGTGGCAGGGGATGTGTAATTGGATGGCGGACCAACAGTCGATTGGATGGGTGTAGAAGTATTGCTGTATGAAGTCGGAATTACAGGAACGGAAGTCGAGGAAGTTGAGTTCACATCAGTTGGTCCGGTAGCAGTTAAGGTCAAAGTGGATTCGATTGGTACGGGGCTCGTGCCTGTGCCCGGTGACGAGGTAAATGTGCTCGTCTTATTGGCGTATGGTGCAGTCTGGGAAACCGGGTAGGAGGTCCACGAATCAGTTCCGGATAACGTGGTGCCTGTTGATAGTGGTAGAGTGGAAGGTGTATATGTGGAGAGGAAAACGCCCGTCGAAGTAATCGTTGCAGAAGTGCCTGTGCCCAATGACAAGGTCACTGTAATCGTCTTGTTGGCATATGGTGCAGTCGGCTGGACTGGGTATGAAGGCCAGACATCAGTTCCGGACGATGATGTGCCTGTTGATAGCGGCAGACTGGAGGGAGTATATGTGGAGACTGGCCAGCTGGTCGCGGTGCCGTCCGTGTACGTGTCGGTTGAAGGATCTGAGCTAAGAAAATGTCAGTCAATGTGCATGAATCAGGCTTCGTCACATGACATACCTTGTGCTAGAATTGCCAAACACGCTTGAGGTAGTGATCGGCTCCACTGTCGATGTGATCACACCAACACTAGTAGAGACGTCGACATCGCTCGAAGTGTCCGGCCCAGCTGGTGTAGTACTTGGCCCAACAACAGTCGTGATAAAGACAACGCTGGTCGAAACAACAACCTCGCTCGAGGTGGTATTGGCAACAGGAGTAGAGCTCGTTACACCAGTGGATAACGGGACACCTGTCGAGGGAGATACGCTGGTGCCTGACGAGAACGGTACACTGTCCGAGAAGCTTACGTATGTTGGGTAGTAAGGTGGAGGTGGTGCATATGAACGCGCTACAGCACGATGTAGAAAGCGTACTGGTGATATTGGGTCAGTCACAGTGATTTATTACTAGAGAAGACAGAAAGGCTGCGTTGATGAATGTTGAAGCTGTGGAGACCTGTAGAAGGATTACTTACATGGTGCACGCTCCCCAGCGGCAAGCACCAAGGTAGCAGCCATCGAAGCACAGTGAACAAGCTTCATGTTGAGGAATGAGGCCAGGTTTGTCTCGAACTACTGCGAAATGACTGGAACAAATGTGGAAGAAACGAGAGAAAACGTCGAACGGACACAAGTACAGCTGGGCGGCTTAACCTTCCATCGAGTCGAGCGAGAGGCCTTATATGTAAGCATCAAGCTGCGTTTGCAGACGGAGGACCCAAAGCCCCTGATAGTAGTGATGCAAGTTATCCATGGTCCGTCGGGAGCATACACAAGACGCCGCACAACAGCTTGCTTTCCATATCGAAAGTATCCACTTTTCCGTCCGAAGATGCCTGCATTTTCCTAGCTGAGGAAACACGATTCCGCAGCAGTCAATCACGACCCGCGGGTGCGGCTTGGTGTTGTATGTTTCTCTGTCTTTGACCGGATGGATAATTTAGACTCTGAGGGATCGGTCTACATTGGCGAGGTCGGGCCCAAAGCATTACAAGACGTCTTTGGTACTGCTTCTCAGACCTTGATAGTATTACGAGCAGTGCAGATTGGATTAGTTGTGCCTGGAAGAATGTTCGGTCGAGAGTGTTGCACCACCGCACCGGCAGCGCCACTTGTGGTACAGGACCGGGTGCGAGAACGCACTGTCAAATTGAAGCGGATAAAGCGAGGATGCACCACTACCCAAATTTAAGAGAGTGGCTATAATCCGCGACTTTAATGTTCTAGGAAAAGTAAGGTTGCGAACCAATGATTTGTGGTTGCCCATGTCCGAGGCGGTGCTGTTACACATGGAACAGTAGAAGAATCCAGAAATCCAGGCACGCGGTCATGGTGATACGGTCTTCTTGAAACAGCCGGCAAACGACTGACAGACGCCTCATTGCGTCTGTGTCCCATGAGAGAGCCTGATCTATGCGGAATGAACCTGCCACATATGTCAGGCTGAGAAGTTTGACAGCCTATCATATCACTGATCGGGCACCGTGCAGACGTTAGTCTTGCAGCTGTCAAAACACGTCGAGGACCTTTTCAGCATGTCAGAATTTCCATGAGTTTGGTGGTTCAACCAAAATGACTCGTGGAGTATCTCCCATGTGAGAGGACCCAGTCAAGGCTGCGCGATGTGCTGCGTAAGCCGTATAATGTTCGCACAAAGCATAACAATGGCTTGGTTGGGTTGAGCCGTGAAAGAGCACCACCATACCAACCCTGAGAAGCTTCTGTTCGTTCCCACAGCCTCGATATGTAACCGTGGTAGCCATATGACAGGGTGCACGATGCAGGAGCAAGGGAGGCGTTTGTTGCTCGAGGCTGAAATCGTCTTGCGCGTGTTGCAAAGCACCATTGTAATAAGACGGAAATGTGTGTCGCACACCCGATATGAAGCTTTGAGGGACAAGATCGTGCAGCATACACAGGTAAGAAGGGCCGATCCAAAATGGGCTGCCGGTCCAAGGTCTAGACGGATGTTGGATGTTGTTGAGTTGAGGGCATCGCGCAGGATAGCAGTCGCGATGCAGAGGACCGCACCTTCCTCCAACTTGGTAAGCTTTGTCACGTGTGCAACACAGTTCCGCGCTCTTAAAATGCACGAGCTTTCATCACCGCTGCACCGTATTTGTGGTCGATAAAAAAGATGTAGGGCTGTGTTGCGTTGTGCAGAGATACCAAACGCACGATTGGTAGTCAGTCATTGTACGCGGTCGGGTACTCATCTAGGACCATGTTACAGTCCCCTACGGCCCGCTCAGCAATCACAATTTACCGAGCGAAAGTGATCTTGTTCGTTAGTCGCTGCTTGAGTGACGTTGGATCTTGGTGAGAGGTGTGATTATGATCACGTCGATTCATCACCGAGGTTACAGGGGCAGAGTAGCTGAGAGCAGGAAGTCCACCAAGGTGGCCGCTACAATTATCGATTATATAGCTAACTTCCAGCTCAGTGCCGGGAGTGGAGATGTCGCCATTGAGGCGACCCAAAGCGCCATTGTGAGCGATACAAGTGTGTATCCGCGTACGCGTGGCATCCAAATTTTCATTGAACGCCAGACAGTACCGCCAAACAATACCGCCATACGCGCCCAGTCATGATGTCGTGACGAAACGCCGATCCAAGGTGCACCACCATGTGCGCCCAAAATCAAGGTAGCTAAAGCTCGTGTGAAGCCACTCAGACTTGGGTACATGAAGCACGTTGGACAGGGCAGATATATAAGGAAACCAGAACATGATGAAAGATACAATAACAGATCAAAAGAGAACTGAAGAACTGAAGAACTTAATCCCAGTTGACGAAGTTATCACCCTGCTCATCGCCCGTGTGAGCAAAGTCTGAACCCTGGAAGTCGAAGAAAGCATTGTACTGCTCGTTGCCAGGTGTAAAAAGGGACTCCGTGTTGAAGAAACCTTCGGACGGAATGGTGGACGATGGCGCGTCGACATTCTCAGTCTTGATGCCAGCACCAGGCGCCAAAGTGTCGTCGAGGGTGGTCCTGCCTAACTTGCCCGAAAAGTTCGGATTATAAGTGTAAGTGGGAGCGTACTGGGGAAGGTTGTCGCTGCCAGCCATGAAAAGCGCGGTGCGAGGATCGTTGGGATCGAGCGCCGACCCAATGAACTGCTGCGACTCAGGAGGCATCGACAGCGCAAGAGGGTTCGCGCTCAAAACCTGCGAACTAAACGGATAGCCAGCCATGTTGAAAGGATAAGATGCAGGGGTATCGGTGTCTTGGTGCAACTGAGGTGTCACCTGACCGGAAGCAGTGCGCGGAGAAGCCGTCTGAGGAGAAACAGAACCGTGAGGAGACTGAGCAGTAGTGCCGCGCGAGAGCGCAGGACGTGACTGCCCATCAGCCGACGCGGCCTGCTGCTCGAGACCATGCGGAGGTAGCGACATCCTCCTGAAAGAGTCCTGAGGGGTGGTGATACCACCTGGGGCCGACTGCGTGGAAGGGTCCGAAGCCTTGGCTGACTGGGGCAGCTGAATTGACAGAGCACGCCCATGCGTGTTGACACGCTGCGGGATCTGGTACGGAGACTGTCGGAAGCCTTGCTGGGTAGCAGTAGAGTTGTTGACAGGCTGAGCCTGCTGAGTGACACCCTGCTGAGGAGAAGCCGGGTTGAACTGCTGAGGCGGCATCATGGACGGGTTCAGCCAATTGTTCGCTCCTGGAGGACCCGCATTTTGGCTGGAACTGGCCACCGTACTGCTGGAAAGACGGGTTCTGGTACTGCGACATGAACATGTTCCTGACGCCATGCTGGGTCGCAATGTAGTCATGGAGTTTCTTGTTAAACATGACCGAGGTGGTGTGCAGGTGTGCGTTCAGACGCTGGTACTGCGTGGGCAAATCATCATCCTCTTCCTCATACATCTCTTCGTTAATGACATCTTGCTCTGTAACACGGAGAGCACGGCCAGTGCGCTTCTTGTGAATCTCAGAAGCCCTGCGCGCAGACTCAATGCGAGCCTCCAAGCTGCGGACGCTGCGACGGGATGCCGCAATATAAGCACTAAACAAAGTCGGCAACATGCATCAACAATCAATTAGAACGACGACATACCGCTCTTGGTTCTCTTCGTGGGTGCGTTCAGTCTTGACCGGGCGGGTCGCAGTGAAGGTGCGTCGTTCGGCAGGCATGGTGAGAGTAGTACCGGGAGTCGGCGGAATTCAATGTGGCAGGTTCGGTTCGGGTGGCGATAAGATAAGGAAGCAGCGAATCAATGGGACGGAAGGGGTGCGACACGTGTTGGTTGCTGTTAAGCAGGTCTAGTCGTCTAGCAACGACAGTAGACTACGACAATTACAATGAAAAGTCGATGGAGGATGAAGAGTACAAGTTCAGGGAAAGGTGGGCGCTCCAAGTAGAAGAGGGGAAGAGTGGCGAGCCCACATGGGCGGGAAGAGGTGCAGGGCGGAGCAGGGCTTTCAGATGGGCCGAGAGCGACGCGGAGCTACTCCGATTAGAGACGCGCAGGACAGCCAGGATGGCAGGGCTCACCACGAGAAGCCTTCGCCAGATCCAGATAAGCGACCGAGTGACGTCGAAACAGGTTGATGCCGCAGGCCTAAGGGAGACAGCGCCTCGTTGCAGATGTGGGCGCTGTGACTAGGATGGAGCGATAGAACGGCGCTCCGAAGCCCTCTCGATGCACACAAAGGTCGATTGGCGGCGGCTATAGGCCCGAATGGGATCCGTGGCGCCCTGGTCCGCGAATCTCAGTGTGCGATGGCTGGATATTGCGAAGGAGCTGGAGATCGGGCTGAACTGCTCTAATGACAAGGATGAGAACGAGAACTATGCAGCAGACAGCTTCGGGACAGGTGCCATACAATCGCAGTCAGCGTCAACTTGCTCCCAACACTGCGAGCAACGGCCATAACAAAGGACACCTGCTCGCCGTCCGCGGCATCGCAGCAGTGAACGGCCCACTCCACTGGTGCTCAAACTTCAAAGGCTAAAGGCTGCGGCGCCGTCTCCGCTGCACAAGAGCTTGGGCGCTTGGGCTCGTTGTTGCGGGTCGCCGATGCTGTAAGTGTGGAGAGGTCGCTGATCGAAAATGCTAGCTTTCCGCTAGGCGAAATACGGTATGATGCCTAGGCGTTTCTGATCACGGAGAGTGCAGGTCTGAGCAACCACCACACCATGAAATTCTTGACCCAAGACAATGTGTGTTTCCCAGTGAAGCCACGCTAGGATCTGGTGTGACCCTACCGACGATAAACGAGCCGCGTGGGGAGTGCATCTCCGTTGAGTTCTGGTTCACATCATTGTCAGGAACCTTGAGCAACGGGGATGCGCAACGGGGATAAAAGCAGCAACCCGCGACCCAGGCCAGCTTACTGACGGCGCAGTTCTGGACAGGATGATCCGCTACCGCAACCTAACAGCGCTGAAGGTACGTACCGATGCGGAGTACAGGCCGCCAGGAGTAATCTTGACGAGTTGGCAGTTCATCGTTAATATTAGCACTGCCACTTGAAATTGCAAGCTCCATCACTTGAGGAAGCTGCGAAACCCGGGTGAAGCGATCAATCTGTCATGGCACGTCACTTACCATCACGTCGCTACAAGCTTGCACCAGAGGAATGAACAACACTGGTTTCTGGCAGAATGCGACCCTGGCAAAGACTCCGAGAACATTACCTGAACACAGTAGCTCGCGACACAGCAGTTACGGGGCTTTTGTTGTTGTCGCCACGCCCCCAAGGGCATACGAATCTGCGGGATCCGCATTTACGATCAGATCGAGCTAACTATACCGGGCTAGCGCGATCTGATCGTAACTCTCTGCCCTAGAACCCTTAATAACAACCATGTCGCCGAAGCCACCTCCGAGGACGCTGCATGCGTTGTTCCTGTGTCACTGGCATCAGATACACACGACGTGGAAGCTACGTCCTGCCGAACACCTGTCAAGCCAGAATATCACTGCTAGCAACACAAATACTCAGCAATTATGCGCTCAGAAATACGGAGCTGTAGATACCGGAAACTTTCTTTGTCACGCCAACTTTTGTTGCTGCGCCAGACAAGGGATGACGTCTTTTCGGCACGATTTCTCGGCATTGTCTGTGTCCCGCCTTCGCTGGGCCCACAAACAGTACATCAATCTGGTGTCAGATTGATGTACTGCGATGAATCTACGGCACTAGCTTGTGACACTCGGCCACGCCAAATGAAGTGCTCCCTCGACGCATCGGTTCAACCGCCCACACTGAACATGCCGATCTGTCGGCGCAGCATGCAGTCTCCGCTTGCTGTGCAGGCCATCTTACCGACTCCACGTGTGTACACGGTCAGAAAATGGTAGCATGCGCCGATATCTTCCGCCTAGTAATCTCGGTAATTTCGCGTCGACTTGCTTGTACAATATTATACAATGCCTGAAATCTAAGGGCAATACCCACACCGGATCACTTTTCGGGCGTGATTTGGAATACAGCATTGCGCATCCCCTTTCCGCACAGACCTTCATGCAAAACCGCGCTTAGCATCACAGTTGTGGAGGAATGACTCAGCGCGAACACATCTGCCACCGGGAACTGTCGCAACGGTCTGTGAATTTTCGTTAGCTTCAACATTCACGTTATCGCCAGCCCTCCGCGGAAGTCACGTGTGAAACTCACTTCCCGCCCACGCAGTGCCATCTCATTTGATGAGGAAGTTTGAACCGCGACAGATCGCAGAAAGTTTCGATAGTCCTCACCACCCCTCAGTGTTAAGCTGCAGGTGTTGAAGTCCGTCAGCCCTGCAGTTCCTCCGCGGCCAATTTTGCCCGTAAGCGAGCTCATGGGGCTGTGTGCGCCTGTGAGCGACCTGGTTACTGCAGCAGTCATCTGGAAGAGTCTATTTGTTGTCGCGATAAGCCTGTCCGCATATGTCGGCTTCTGCGATAGGTGCGCAGATGCTCTGACTTGCACACAGCAGACACAATCTCTGTACGACACCCTCCGCGTCCCAAAAACATCTGAGAAATATTGTTTCCTCCCAAAAGGCATCGGACGTCAGCCTTGCTTACCCATCGCCCTAATTCCCCAATCAAGAAGGTGCTCCGGCAACCCCTTCGAAACCAACAAGACCCTTTTCTTTCCTTTTAACCCACGCTGCACATAGAGGCAGGGCTCAAATCTCCCACCCATAAAAAACAAGAAGGGGTAAAGTGCACGGGCTGCCGAAATCGTTCGGATCGTACACAATATCGGACCTTTGCTCCTAGCCAATCATAAGCTAGTGCCGAGGTCAAACCAGCCACTTGGATCTCTGGGACCTTACACGGGCGCGGGCGCTCTAAAGATCGAGTCGATCGAGTCGATCGAGTGCATTAGTGGCCACGATAGTTTGCGGATGGGGAAGGCCCGCATGGGAAGGTGTGTCTGGGCTGGGGAATCGGATAATAACAAGGCTGCCGTGGGGGGAGGGGAGATGAGATGAGGGCGTGGTACCCCATGGAGACCGTATCCGTTGTTGAATGTTGAGGAGAGCAAGAGAGGAGGTCACGGGACCTTGCGCTGGAGGCGAGGGAACAGCACACTATCGCAGAGTACATACAACGCGACTCGCGAATTCCAAGAAAGTCGGTCTTCAATCTACCCCCAACTCTTCCAAATCTTGCTTTCTTCGCCACCATGGCGGGCGCTTCTATCCACGCGACGTCGCACAGCATATGCGGTCGCAATTCTGTGGTCAAGCACGGCACCTTCCCAGCACTGTGGCTAAAGCCCTTTGCCGCGTACGACGTGAGATTGTGGAGATTCGGAAGCTGTGTAGTCGGCAGCAAGGAAGAAGGAGTATGCGCGCTCACTCGTCTTAACGGAGAGGTAGGCATTATTTCTTGATTTGAAGAGACAGAGTTCACAACGTTCTATCTTAGGAGATACAAGCTTGTTGTTTGCTTACAATTGACGTTCACGCGCTCCTAGACATTTGTACTACTGTGACTCGTAGGTTCACTACTTAGACACCCCACAACATCTTAGGATATAATCACAGCCTATAGCCATCTCTTCAACATACGAACAAAGGACGTTGAATGCAAGTTCTCTTATTTAATCTATTAAAAGCCATTAAGCTAGCTCTCAATCCTGTGCGTATTGAAGCGGCGACCCCAACATCAACATTATGACAATGTCGTTCGACCTCGCCATTCCTAGTTCCCAGTCACCTAAGATACATTCACTTTTGCGGTCCGACGTAGCCACAACCAATGCCTAGCGAGGGCGCAGATCGTAGTCACTTTTGATGCTGTTACACGCCACGGGCTCATTCGGACTGATCTCTCCCCTCGTGATTTTCTGTTCCAACTGCTCCTTCTCTTCGCGGTACTTTCTCATGTTCTCGTCGCGCTCGTTCTTGGAGCCCCTTGGTGGAATAATGCCTGGCGGAGGCCTCAACCACTGTCTAGAAATTGTCGCATCCAATTAGTTAATGTTTGAAGATGGGGTGTACGTATCATGTCACTGACTCCTGCGGGATCGTTCTTCCATCGGCTCCGCGGAACCGGTCTTCAGTCGCTTGGCTCCAACGTCGTGTGTCAAGATAGGCCTTGATCATCGACGGTGACATGGGTTTCGCGTCGTATATTTCGTAGTCAGTCGGTAGATCGGGCGGTGTTGGTAAATAGTGGAGAACCCTGTAGACTCCATCGGTGCAAACCATAGAGATGCACTTCCTATCTGCTGGCGTTTGCATTGATCTGGTCAAGGCATTAAACTGCTCTTTTCCAGTCTCGACATGGTCAGGCTGCGGAGTCACGCTCTTGCTGTCTTCGTTCTGAGCCGACCGTCTTAGCTCAAGCTGGTCTGGACCTTGATCTCCCTGTTTAGATCCTTCTTGGGCAGTTGGCAGCTGTGCTGTTGGAGATGACATGCTTTGTCTCGTCCTCAGTGCTGGAAGGATTCGAGTGCCTATCGCTTCTCTGAATGTCTGTCGATGAATGGTTCTGGTGAAAGAACGGACAAGAGTAGTCTACAGTGGATACGTGTAGTAGTAATGGGAGCTTATGGTAGCCGTGGGTAAGGCATGTTAGCAGTGTCCATCCTATTTATAAGCGACACATGTATCGTGTTAAAAGATCGACTCCTTTATGACGTGGCGTTGCGAAAATCAGCCAGTCAGCTGCGCGAATACACACAACCTTATGTCCCTTATCCTTACAAACAGCCAATCAAAACAATGATTGGTACAGTCTGTCAGCCTGGGCAGCTGCTGACTACAGTGCTCTTCTATGAAACTGTTTATACAGTCACTAGCGGAGACATCTCAACGAACAAGCTGATCGTTGGCTTGATTCCTGTTTAAGCGTGTACGTAGTGTCACATGCTCCGTGACCGCGTTCATGCCCCAAATCACATCTCAACGAACAAGCCGCTGGTCGGCCTGTTCGTTGAGATGTCTGCACTAGTGTTTGCGACTTCACCCTCACAGGCAGGAACACCAACTTAGGCCGATGCGCCAGCGAGGGTCCAGCCTACTTTTTGTTGATAGCTCACTAGTCAAATTGTCTGTTTAGAGTTCCACAGTCAGCGCTAACCCATCTACGATAGGTAAGGTGAAGCAGCTGTTGTGACAGGGCGAAGGCGCAATGCTTGTAGCAATATACGTACAGCAGTGAGGAAAGAGGAGAGCGCGACGCAGGAATAGAGCCATGCAGCTGTGCCTCAACTACACAGAGATAGAACTTACAAAATTCTATCTTAAGAGAAACAAACATGTTACCTGCTTCAAATTGACGTGCTTGCGCTGCTGTGTGTCAGTGTCTACCTCGCGCCCACTTCTTCACCCCACTACCTTTTCCCTACGTAACCAAAATTCTCCAACATCACTTGCACATACGATTATAGGACGTTTACTACACGACTCTCCTTCAGCCCCGCCATCTATCATATTGTTGCGCAGCGGCCTTCGAACAGCACTCAGGCTGCAGTTTTGTAGAGTCTATGTTCGCACCTAAGCGGCCACCACTACATATTAACTGCCTAGATGTAGACGATTACCAGTCAAGAGTATTCGCGTGTAGCATCAGCCTCAGCTTCAAGTATTTTTTATGGGCCGCCTATGAGCTCTATGTCGCTTTTGCTCTAGACCCATTCATGTGATCGATGCGCAGGTGCAAGTCCCGCAGGCTATGCTCGAAAGCCACATGCATGATATTCAGCGGACAGCGAGCTGAGGCTGTGCACTCGGGATCCGAATTGCTCCCATGACAGCATAGAGCCGCGCATCTTCAGCCTGACCCTAGTCTTCTCCTCTGTACGAGACTGGGTAATCCAATGCCTTGCCTATGATTCCGGCATAGAATCTTTTTATCACACATGAATGACTGCACGCAGCCGAAATTCCAATAATAACTCCTTGCGCTGCAATTCCTTGCTCTGGTCACCTCGCCATCTGTCGTATGTATCAGCCCCTCCCACGACTACGCTGCCTTCGAGATGGTATTTGCCAGCTGGTCCCGACACAGTACCTCCTCGCGGCAATTTCGATTTCATTAGAATATCGTTTATGCCTTCACCTAGTCCTCTATCCAGTTCCTCGAACACATCTTCGATGATATCTTCCGAGCTATGGGTAGACCCTCACAATATCTCTCAGTTCCCTATGAAGAAAGCGCGCAGAGAGACAATGGTTATGTGGGGCCGAACGGAAATTTATGTGACCCTATGGAAGGACAGCTCCCATCAGGTCTGAGGTCATAGAGTTCTGCCTTCATGAAGCCTCCGAAATGGCAAAGGAAGTCCATGAACCGTGGAAAAGAACGCATGGTGCACCCGAAAAATCTTACTGCGGAAAGCAGAGCCAGCTCTTCTACCAACTCTATCGGTTTTTACGGAGTTCTTATGAGCGTGGTGTCGACCAGTTGGTGAATTACAGTTCCCGCACGCCTTTAAACCTTCCTTCGTCACATTCATCATGTTTGAATACACTGCAGAAATGACCTAGGAGCATCTGACGGTCTATCTCGATCGATCACGTGTTCCCAAGCTTGCAGTCGATACCTATGGGCTGCGCAGCTTCTAAAATGTTGCCAGGGTTATAGGTATAAAGAAGAAGGATTTGCATGACTTTTTGAGTTTGCAAGGCTAGCAGTCCAATTTGACCACTTCCCTCATCTATCGAGCATCCCAGAAGGTTTGTCTGAGACTACTATAGAGGAAGTGATGGACGACTTGGATGCTGACTCGCCATTTCTTCGAACATCAGAACCATACAAAGATTCTGAGTTGGCCAGATACTGGGCCTTCACTGCATACCGATGTTGTTTTTTCGATACATATGGACAGCACGCAAGAGAAGATGATCAAACCCTTCAACCATCTCAGCACATACGACCACAGAACGTTGAGTACAAGTTCTCCTATCTGATAAGTCAAAATTTGGCAAGCCCGTTTTAGTCGATTTACTGTTCTTTGCTCACAGAAAGCAGGAAATAGTTTTGACACGACATTGACAGCTACTATTGTATGAGATTAAGATAACATCAAGCACTGGAAACAACACGTTCAGGTGATTGTAGATAGAATCACTGCTTCACAGAAGGAAGACCAGAAAGCGACTATATATCAAGTATACTGCTGAATAAGCTTCGTGTCGTGCGAGCCCATGGGAAGCATAAGGACCGAGGGGCACGACAGATATCAGACTAAAATAGAGTATTGAGAAGCTCTGCAGATAGTAAAGTTTTGGTTAATACTACCAGAGATACAGATTAGAGCTATGTAAGCTACTTCAGATACAGGATATACAAATTGAAATGGCAGAGATTGGTAAAGTCTTTAGACAATTGCGTCTTATATACCGGAATAGCCTTCGTGTATCTCACTATTCACCTAGTCTATATATTTTACTGTTACTTCCCATCTCTCCGATAGTCCCCATGTCTTCATCTGTTCTAAAAGTGCAGAGCCCTAGTAATGAAATTTCCAACCATACTACCGTCTCTGGTTCAATCCAGACCCACGATCAACTCATCATAAAGATAATGCCAATTGCAATGTTTATAATGTACTCACTAAGATAACTGTTCCCACATCCCCATATGATCTAATAGAAGAGATGTATCAATGGGCTGGTACACTTCCTCTCCAGCCGACATTCGTAACAGGTTGCCATCTTCATTCAAGCCAGCTATGCGATAATCTTTCTGGAATGATGCAGGTTTGATTTTTTCTTGATTTGGGTCGGATCCAACACCTTGCTGAAGATTTCGCGTCTTCATCATGACCTCCAGGGAGTTTTCGGTACTATTTGCGGGCTGCCCATCCTCCACTTCCAGCTCATCTGGTCCAGTAATGCAGCACGACTTTTCTCCAAATTCTTGTACTAGACGTTCAGCAGTTGGTCGGTCCTCTGGTTTGGATTGAATCATCTTCCGAATCATCCGAAGTGTACTCCGACTGGGAATTGAGGTCTCTTTGTAGTTCGGCATTCGCGCCTTCAAGAGCTCTTGGAATGAGGCAAGGTTTCCATGGCAGGACGTTTTCGAACCATGGTTAGGTATGAGAAGATTCTCCAGCTCTTCTTGCAATCCGTATGATGCCTGATCGGTATCCCGATTCTCCTGAAGTCCTGGTGATGTTCGGGAGTAGGTATCTAGAGATCTTTCGACCTTACAACTATCCAAAGCAGCGAAAATCTCAAGGAAAACACAGCCAAGCGAGAAAATGTCCGCAGGAAATCCATGGTCACTTTCCTGAGCAACCTCGGGTGAAGCATACTTCAGCGTGCATGATGTGTAACCATCTGTATTTGCAGCATCGATAGTTTCGTACGAACGGGAGATGTCGAAATCAGAGATATAGACCTTAGAGCTATACTCTGGACGCCCTCCACTATAGTGCCACCTTGATCGCACAAGTACATTCTTAGGTTTGATATCCTTGTGCTTAACGAGACTACCGTGGATGTGTTTTATTGCACTGCTCAGACAGGAGAAAAAGCCTGTACAAGAGAATGCCATAGCTCTTGCTTGGGTCAGGTCAAAAGAATGGTCTTCGGGTGAATGTTCGTTGGATACAATCTTCTCGGGTGAAGTTTTGCCCAGAAATCCGAGGAACGTTTCCAGGTTACCGTCGGCAACAGGATACATCAGGATGCAGAACTCCCTCATCCAGACGTATGTACCGATTAGGCGTACGATATGAGAGTGTTTGAGCCGAGCCATATGCCCGACCTCACTAATGGCGTTTTCCCTGGTAAAGGGTGTCCTCCTGTAGATAGTCTTGCGCGCTATGGAGATACGGCGGCATTTGACCTTGTAAACAAAACCTACACCTCCAAAGCCAAGAGGCTTCTCGACCTTAAGCAGCTTATTAATCTTCTCAATTTCACCCTTCTTGAACTCGACATGCTGTCCTTCTCCTGACCAATTTTGTTCAATCCGTGGATCAACAGGATAAAGCCCTCTTCCTCTCAGCATTTCGAGGTACTCGGATTTACTTGTCAACAAAATTTGGTTAGAAAGATCGACCTGAAAGACTTATGAACCAACTCACACCGATATAGTTCCAAGAACAGAGTTTTTGTATCCTTCTAGCCGTGACGTAGCTGAATGGAAGGCTTGGGAAGTCGCACTGTAGTAGATACTCGGAGCATCTAGCTTAGGACCTATGTAATATGAAATTTTTTGCATGACCAGATCTGAAGTAGTCACGTGAGATCTTCTTGGATAGGGCAATGGGTTCCATGGTTCGTGTGCGGCATTCATAACCCGGAGAAAAGTGATCATATCGTTGTTCACTTGCCCCGACGAGAATGTAACGAGTTCCTGACTGACAGAAGCATCCAAAGACACACGGGTATGTTCTTGGAATGCATCGATACCTGTCTCCCATTGAATGACATGACGGTCGTATGACTCAGCTGAACGTTGCAATCCGCCTAGACTAGAAGTGGCGTCACATCCTTGCTGACTAGCTATTACTTCAACGAAGCTTTGAGCCAAAAAATCGGATTGAAGAGAGTTATTGTCGTCGTTGTCGTTGTCGTTATTGTTGTCGTTGTTGTCGTTGTTGTCGATGTCTTTCTTAACAAGCCAATTTCGATACTGGAATACGGGCACTGAATCCATGGCTGGCTAAGCTAGATCGTTGGAACACCGCGTTCTTGAAGATGGGTCATTGTGGATATGTCATTGACCGAAGTACAGCAAAATCAAGGAAGCTCGAAAAGTTTCAAGCCAATGCCACCCAATCTGTTGCGGCGCAGCATTTGCCCCACCTTCGCCGGTCAACTCGATCGAGACACAATCGTTGCAACACAGCCACTCAATAGGTAGACACCTACGAAAAGGCGGTGTAAATATTTTGAGATCCCGACAACGAACAAAAAGATCATGTTCGTTAACGTGATCAACAATGGAGAGAATCTCATAAAACGCCAGCGCAGCGCCTGCCCAGCCATAGCGATCCACGGTACGGTACAACAAAATCCTATGAAGATTTTCCGCTACCCCATAGTTTCTCCATCTCTACTCTGTAGGTGCGGACCCACCCAGGTATAGATCACTTGCCTGGGGGTAGATCTTGGAGGTCTCGTCTATAGTTGCCCCATAATGAATCGTCTTCAAAGTGCCACAATCTAATTCCTGTCTGCAACATCCTTCAAGATCTTAGAGCTAGACGTAGAAATACTGGCTAGTAGTCAGGTGACCACTGACGAATTCCCGCTACTGAATGTTTCTATTCTTATTTTGCTATGCTTGTGTAGGCTTCCAGAACTAATTCTAGTGAGAGTAGATTGTGGTAAGGCGAGGTGTAGCGCGACGTGATTGTTGGGTACCTCAGCTTGGCGAGTAGCCACTGGTAGCGCCGTTTGCGGAGCCGGCAACAAAGGGCTACAAAACACATCCACCTGCAAAGTTGTGAACGACTTGAATTGCATCGCTGCTCATTGATCAGCACGATGGCTGAAGACTTCAGGAAAGGGCAAGACGACTCCGAGTTGCCCCCTCTCGACGACAGACTCGTTGCATCAGCAGCTGCAAGGCTTGATGCTGATAAGATTCCCCATGTTCTCTGGGGTAATTACATGTTAACTATTTTTGGCATTCCAACCGTAGTCGATGTACGTACCTCGCGTCAACTTAAGCCGACGAATTCTTACTTTTTCACAGGGCATCGACTTCGTTGTTGACGTCGATTTTATCGACGCTGCCTATGACACTCTTCAAGGTGCCGGTTTCAAAAAGTGCAGTTCAGAAGGTTGCATCGGCAACAAGACACTTTCCTATGCTCCAACCCCTTACGCCCATCTCCACATCACCGAATCCGAACGGCTAGGCCTTTATAAAAGATCCGACATTCTGTGGCGACTCCCAAATTTATCAAACGTGGACGGCGCATGCATAACTCTAGCATCTGATCCTAACCAACTACCCGGACCAGACGTCCTAGGGAGAGGAGGGCGATTCCGGCAGGGTTTACATCCAGTGCGCGTCCCAACCGTCTCTCAACTAGTTCAGGCACTGCTTTTGCTCGCAAAGAAAGACCAGAATACGTACGGAGGATACTGGATGAATTGGATCAGCTACATAGTAGAATTCTGCTCCGAAAACGGCGTCTTTGATAAAAGCCAACTGCCCGGGAATTACAAGACCTATATCAACGCTTTCCTTGAGGGCGACCACACATCGAAAGACCAGACTTTTGAATGTATTGGTCTTACTGAGTAGTTGGGCCGTGGGTGGGTGCGAGTTAGGGACATTCCGGCCTCCGTTGTTATTTTGATACCCTTAATTAGAAACTTCGTTGTTTGATGTCTCAGTCTCGGTGCCGTTACCCAGTGCTTGATGCGACTCATGAGGATGAGAACGTAGTTCGATGAGTAAAGGGGAGCTCAATGAGAAGAAGAGAAGTGTTGTAGTCGTGTTAGGGATGTGGATGTGGCACGATGGATTGGCGAGGATGTACGTGTGGCTGAATTATATGCCGGGGCTTGTCTTTTTCCCTCCATCTTGAGACCATGCGCCAAATGGCTCGACAGAGGTTTCCAGAGTCCAGAGTCGGTCTAAATGACGCGAATCGTGTGCAATCCATCTTCGTAGCGTACGCATGGTAGGCTTTGCTTTACTTCTTCGCCGAGGTCGGCAAGGATGGCGTTCGTATACTGCAGCTGCTTATCTCGAACCCCACTCCAATAACCATACCCAAGTCTTTCGAAAATCCCAAGACTTGAATCAACGACGCGAAACAGCAATGAGATGCCTGCATCTGGGTTGAACACGGTACTGATTTTGGCAGTTGGCATGTAAAACAGTCTCCCGTTTGCATTATCGCCATCAAAAGCTTTTTTGTTTACCGGAGGGTTGTCGAGATTGATCCATGAATACCATAGGTTGCTCTCGTCGTCGATCATCATGTGCCAGCAAGGTTCGTCTAGGTTGTTGCTGTCCCCGCCGCCTTCGTGCCATATGAGCTGCGTATGCTTTAGATGACCGCGCAGCTCGATCCATCCACTAGTAACGGGTCCGGTTGTATCTTCAGTTGCATAAGTAAGATGAAGGTCCGCTACCTGGTAGAGACATGTGTCAAGAGCCATCCGTGGGAATATTTCAACAGGATGATCTGTCGACGCCCATGACCAAGTTGGAGCACGGTAACTCGCGTGGCGACCCTGAATGTTCTGATCACGGATCGCAACATTCCTCCGCATGTACCATAGAAGATGGTGTAATATGTTCTTTCGCCACATGCCAGCCATGTAGTCGTCCTGAGTATGTGCTACCCGTCGTTTGGCGATGCCGGAGAGTGCAACCAATTTGTCGCTGGGATTTGTTAGAGACATTGACGTATAACGTGAAACAAGATCGAGCCATCGATCATGACCCAATCCGAACTCGGGCACCTTTGGTCCAGCGAGCGTCAAGGAACTGTCTATCTTTCTAGCATAGTCGTGATGGTACTTGAATCGCGATCCCTTGAATCCATCTGGGAGACCAGAGGGATATCTCTCGCAAGCTTCGTGCCTTCTACATTCCAAGAAAAGTTGACGTGAAGTAAAGTGAAGAACGCGTGGCGCAAGAATTCTTTCTTGCAGAACCCAACCACGCTGGCCTATTGCACTGCGGGGCACATGACGATCATGTAAGTTCGTGTCGACCAGCTGGCAATTAACACAATCCAGATCAATATTCATGTCCTAAAGACAGAGGGATACGCTCACATTATTGATGTGGTGTGGATTGCAGTCACGGAATAACCCCTGTGAGCAATCTTGAGCATCCGTAGCAGAAATGTTACACATCGCGTGCATGTAGACTTTGTCCATCAATGCTGACTCGCGATACCAGTCACAGAGGTCATCCTTGTCTTGCATGATGCATAGCGAGTCTATCCATAGATAGCGCATGCCCAGGCTTCTCGTCACGAATACTGCCTCTCGAAAAGTTTTCGGTAAGTTCGCCACGTCAATTCCAGCACGGAATGCGGAGAGCAAGGATCTTGAAAGTTGCAAAAAAGACGTCCCTCCCCAACGGTGACTGAGCGTAAAGTAAGGTCCGCTTGGGGTATGGTCTGCTGTTTGAACAAGGTAAATAGTGTCCCCAGGCACTGCATGTTTCCCAAGAAACAATAGACGCGTTGGATACCACACTATGGGCACATCTCTGTTACATTTGTCATGCCATTCAAGAAAATTGCTCAGCCAACGAGACGCTAGCAGGATTGAGCGTTCTGAAGATGTGGAGTGCGTGGAGCACGATTTGAGTGAGATTTCCTGAACCTCCTCCGTTCGTGTTCCTGCAGGCTGAATCAGCAGCAAAGCACATATAGAGTAACGCGCACGTACCAGGCGTCAGCTGAAAGTACTCGACTGCTCCGAAGTCGACCAAATCCTCGTTGAAGCGTAAAGAAAGTGTGGAGCCCAAGCTTCGGCTCTTGACAGTGATCATGGCATAAGTGAGAAACTCTTCGCTGCCTAATTGCCCCTTAATACGATTGTGTATGGTGCTAACGACGTCGGAAGCGGTGATATTGTTAGGTTTCTTGATCCGGTCATGTGTGCAGCAACCGACCCAGAACGGCTCGCAAATGTGGCAGCCGGCGGCCACGGCAATTGAAAGTGAAGACAAATTACGATGATGACCACGTGTCACCAGTATAGTACTAAGAACTCCGTCGCGCAATGTCTTAACTAGTGTCCCAGCAGTCGATTCTCCTTCCCCAGTCTGTTCATTCTCGTCACCTTCCCTATCCTGGCTGGAGGTAGCTTGCTGGTTTACTTTTGTGTCGTGCTCCTGCGGGGCCTGGGAACGACCGAGCGTTTCTATACACACATCACAAAGCATGGCGATAACTCGTAGACTCGAGTGTGTCAGTTGCAGGGTGCTTCGATAGTTGATAAGCAGGGTGAAGCTATGCAGGCGTGTGGATGTTGTGACCAGCTCCAGTGACGATTTGCGCCTCAAGCCAGTGGAGAATGACGGATGCCAGGACGCGTTATCGATCGGAGATGGATGGCATCATGGAGCGTATCAGTGATAGTTGGCGAGCACTCGCACATAAGGCAGCCACGACGAGTCAACTACCCCGAAATTTCACCCTCAGCCTTCGCGGCGTTCATCAGCCTCTCCTTTCGACCCTCCTTCCAAGCCTTGTCGAGCGCTTCGAGTTTGCCACCAAGGATCTGCACATTACCTGGTTCAAGCATGGCCACCCCTCGTCGGACGTCGAAGTTCCGCAACACGAGCTTCGTTCCCATGGCGATGTTTGTATTAAGTCCGTCGATACCCCTGATATCGTATGCGTACATCTTCAAGCTTTTTGCATCCTGGAGTAGCAGCTTGAATGGGCCTTTGCTGTGGATCGGCGCGACAGCCGCAGATGGATCGTCGTTCTCCTGCTCAACCACTCTTACGACTTCTCTTCCCTTTGTTGTCTCTCCACGCTCTTTCGACTCGATAGCTTCGACTTGGGACCACCGCGAGTTGCCAATGTCTTCAACATCGAGCAACTGGCACACCACGGGTCCTGGGATGATGCGGGACTGCACAGTGCCCCTCAGAATATCTGGGGGAAACACTGCATGTTGAGGGGGATTCAATGTTGTTGTGATGTCGGTTGCGAGGAGTCTGAAGCCGGCTGTCTGCTTGATAGCAGGCAGTGGCGTGTTTGGACGCGTCGTGGAGAGGAAGCTCTGCAACCAAGCCGCGGTAGGGTAGAGATGTCGTCCGTTGAGGTGCTGGGTTAGTTCCGCTGCTAGATTAGCTGCCATTGTGCAGATGAGCCAGTCTTGTTTGGTAAATCAAGCGCCCGCACAAATATTGGCTGAGCAATGGCGGAGACAAATGTGAGAGACGCGTCGCGTAAATGACGTGGGGAGCTCTTTCCGAAAAGTGGCCTCGGCCCAAGCTTCACCACTACAACACTCCCACTGCGCAGCAAGACTCTGACCTATATCCCGCCAAAACTCCGTGATCTCCTGGAAATTACTGCACGAATAACGCCATGTCGACTATAGCTTCGCCAAGAGCCAGCATCTCGGTGCGCAGCGCCTCGTCTACCCGCAACTCCATCGACAGCTCCAGGGCTCCGCAACCGGCTCGCCGCAACAGAGCAGCCCTCCGAGAATTCTACGGCCTCAAGAATGCGCCCAAAGATGGAGACGCAAAGATATCCGAGGAGTCTTCACGGACCGAACTCGGCCCCGAAGAAGACGAGACGCTGACGGAGCTGGATGCGGCCGACTTTGATGCCGAAGCATTCGTGAACAGCTTGCTAGCCAGAGAGGGTCTGAAGGGTGTTCTCAAGGTCGAGGCAGACTTGGTATCACGTGAGTATGACCATCCATGCTCAAGCTCTGCTTGCTAACGATATCCAAGAAATACGCAATCTGGACAGCGACAGAAAGTCACTCGTGTACGACAACTACTCCAAGCTGCTTTCTGCGACCAGCACTATCCGCCGAATGCGAGGGAATATGGACCCACTCGCTCCCACAACACACACCCTTGGTCCTGCAATCTCACATATTGCTGAGACTGCTAGCTCGCTGTCCTCTTCGATGCAAAGTCAGCAAGCGAAGCCCGAGGGCTTGGGCATCAGCGTGCTAGTCGACCAAGACGATGCCGAGAACGAAACCGAGGTTCAAAAGCAAAGACAGCGGGACACTGTGAGATGGGTGCTTGACACACCGCGCCGGCTTCAGGAAATGATCGATCAAGACCAGGACGAGGAAGCAGAGCAAGAGTGGGAACAAGTCAGCAAGATCCTTGCCAAGTGGAAGGATGTAGCTGGCGTCACAGAATTGAGAGAAGCGTGCGAAGAGATTATGAAGGAAGAAGACGACTCTGAATGAGTGCGGCCTAATTCAGCTGTCCATTCCATTTGTCTAGTCCTTTGCCTGCAACTTCCCAGGCAGCGGCAGCTTTGAAGGTGCTCATCTCGTCGAATCTTTTTGCGACAAGCTGTATACCGACTGGCAGCATGCCGGGCCCTTCCGGAGCCTTAGCCCAACCGGCGGGCATCGAGAGTGCTGGATCTGTGCAGGGTCAGCATTTGAGTTTACCAAGGATTAGTGCATACTCACGACCGGTGACATTGAATTGGCATGTGTTCAATGTCGCTCCGATGGCGGGTTCCATCTTCTTGCCCACGTCTGCCGATAGCTCGGGGTGCTTGCTTCCCACGCGGGGGTTCACTGGAGTCAAGAGGATGTCGTACACCTTCAGAACCTCGTCATATGCGTCGCGCAGTTGTTGGACGTGCCCCATTGCCTTCGCTAGTACAGCGTTGGCATCCGCCTTTTCGTTCATGAATGCTGAGTTGAAGAACATGTTCGCAACCGCAGGGTTATGCTTGTTCAAAGTATCAAATGCGTTCTGGTCGAGCGATGGCGGTGTTACGTCCGGCATGGCATACTGCAAGAATGGCGTCGGTCGATTTTGCAAGCCGTTGCTTACTATGAACGGTCGCGAGATGACAGTCCAGATGGCAGGTCCGAGAGTATGCATTGGAATCGAGACTTCCTCAACACTGGCTCCGATTGCATTAAACTGAGCCACGGCATTGTGGAATACGCTCTTCACCTCCTTTGACAGTCCAAGGACATCGAGGCCCTCCTTCATAATGGCAACACGTAAGCCTCTGCCTGCACTGCTCGGCGTCCATGCTCCGTTCGTTTCCTTTTCCGTCCGCCATTCTTCAAGCAAGGCTGGGTAGTCGAGCACGTTCTGTCGCAGCGGTGTCTCCGGCGTGCATCTTGGATCAATACCATCATAGCCAGCCAGCACGGATAGCAGTAGTGCGTTGTCCTCAAGACTCGTAGTCATTGGCCCAGTGTGATCAACCAGCGGTAGCAAGCTTATTATACCTGTATACGGAATCAGGCCATGGGTAGGCTTGAGACCGTATATGCCAGCGTATGCGGCCGGGATACGTATCGAACCACCTTGGTCTCCGCCAATCGCCATGTCGACACTTTCTCCAAGCTCTTCGTCGTTTGGCTTGAGCTCATTCTTCTTTCTCCAGGCTCGGACTTGCCCAGCAGCGACCATTGCACCACAGCCACTGGATGAACCACCAGTCGTGTACCCTCGAAGCCAGGCATTGTGTACAGGACCAGAGGCTGATGTGAACGACAGCGGGCTCATGGAGAAGTGCTCACAGTTTGCACTGCCTTTGATCGTGCCACCACTTTCCAGAACGCGTTTCACAACTACGGCATCGATCTGCGGAATGGGGTACTCGCTCTTCCCGGTCAGAAGCTCTGGGAAGGTACCGCCAGTCAAGGGCACGCCAGCAATGGATACATTGTCTTTGACCGCGACCGTCTTTCCGGCTAGTCTTGAGTCCACCGGCTTCTTTGACGTGATGGCCGTCTGATGGCTCCAAGAGTTTAGTGGATTCTTCTGAAAATCACCAGCTAGTCTGTGGTACGTGCGAGGAAGCGTTGTTGCATCCGGAAGCAGACGAGGGTCTGTATACGCCGGAAGAGCATCGATGGCTGCTGATGTAGCATCCAGCCCATTCAGCAGATGGCGATAGTGCTCTTCTTCCTTCTCGCCCACAACAACTCCGTATGTCTTTGCTACAGAGCGCAATTTCTCGGCATCGACTTGAGGTCCAGTTAGATGTGTACTGGCAAAGGTGGGGTTGAAGTACCTGTTGGCGGACCAGTACTCAAAAATACTACCGACATATTTTCAGCGGGTCTAGTCACAGACGTTTCGCGACTACAGTATTCAACTCATCGCTGTTCCCTAGCATGTACATGAGTACTCATATACCCGTCTCTTTACATTCGGAGATAAGCATCATCCATGTCGGCAACAACGAGCCGCAGTGGAGCTGATAGCTTATCAAGCCTGCCCTGCCCTCTTACACATCGTCGGAAGAATACAAATCTCTCCGCGTCCTTGCCACAGTCTAACGGCCACTTACACCTAGCCTTCAGCAACCCTGAATCCGGTAAGTGGGGGCATACGAGGTCTGTGCGTTCGACGTCACCCTAGCGGACCATCGTTCCTGCGTGCACGACACTAAAAATCTCGTGTCGGCTCTCGGGACATGTTCCGCCATGGACATCGTTGCCTTTTACAACCTCACCCACCGTTCGGAATGTTTCCCTGGAGCCGTTCGGCTTCACGTTAGCTTCCGCGACTCACCGCTCCAACGGATAAGATCATGTGCTACATACACGACTTGTGGTAGGGCCGAAGTAGTACGAAGAAAGGGTTTTATGGGCGAGGGGGTACGGTGTTTATCAAGACAGTCATATTGATTGAACTTCTGAAAGAGTTTCCTCACAATCTTCTCCAAAGCAAAACTCCATCTCTGTCAATCTCCTTCACCATGACCCTCTCCCGTCCCCATCTCCGCCCCTTAAACTTCCTCCTCATATCCTGCTACCTTGGCGCCATATCCAATGGCTACATCTCCTCGCTCATCTCCGCGCTGCTCTCCAACCCCCTCTTTTCCTCAAGCATGCGCATATCCCCCCTCCAACTCGGCCTCCTCACTTCCGCCCATTCAATCGGCTGCATCGCCTCCTTCTTCCCCGCGCCCTATGTCAGCGAGCGCTTCGGCCGTCGCCGCGCAATCCAATTGGGAAATGTAGCCATGCTCGCCGGCTTCGCGGGCCAGATCGCCAGCAAGAGCTACATCCCCTTCCTGCTGTGCAGGATGTGGGTGGGTTTCGCGAGTATGTTCAGCACCATCAGCGCGGCGGCACTCGTTATTGAACTCGCGCTCCCGCGGCAGAGAAGCGTAGCCGGCGCGCTATTCAACACGTGCTGGTTCCTGGGTGCCATTGCCTGCGCGTGGACAAGTTTCTTCTGCCTCAAAATGCACGCGAGTGAATGGAGTTGGCGAATCCCCGTCGCAGTACAAGCTATCTGGGCAGCCGCGCAGGTGCTGCTGATATACTGGTGTCCCGAGAGTCCCGTGTGGCTTTATCGCCGGTCGCGCGAGGCGGAGGCCAGGGCGATTCTGGTCAAATACCACGCCGACGGGAATGCAGAGGATGTAGGCGTGTTGGTTGAAATCGCACATCTCGCTGCCTCGACTTCATCCCAACCTCCGACCTCCCCTTGGTCAACACTGTACTCGACACCGGGACACCGCCGCCGCCTACTCATCAGCATCATCATCGGCGTGTCCACGCAATGGGTCGGAAACGGCGTCTGTTGGAGGTCTCGACTCACACACCTCACTGCAAACGTTTCCTTTATTCATATTACTCTTTGTTCCTGCTATGTATATATGCAGGTAGATAGAACACGTAGTAGAATATATCTCTTCTATTCAAAAGCGTCATTTCATTCTACCTGGCCCCCGTCCTCGCCACAATCGGCATCTCCTCCCCACTCACCCAACAATCCATAAACGGCTCGCTGCAAATCTACACCTTCGTCATCGCAATCATCTCCTCGCTGCTCTCCAACGTCTTCGGCCGCCGCCGCCTGATCCTCACTTCCACCTCCACCATGCTGCTCTTCATGCTGCTCGTCACCGTCTTCTCCTACCTCTACACATCCACCGCGACACCCAGCTACGGCATCGCCGTCATCATCTCCTTATTCCTCTTCTTCGGAGGGATACGTCATCGGCCTCACGCCCATCCCCATCCTCTACGTCAACGAGATCTGGCCCGCGCACATCCGCACAAAGGGCACGAGCGTGTTTTGGGTCAGCCAGGCCGTCGCCGTGTGCTTCAACCAGTTTGTCAACCCCATTGCGCTGCAGGAGATTGCGTGGCGGTATTACCTCGTGTATGTGGGCGTGCTGTGTGCCGTCATTGCGTTTGTGTGGTTCCTGGTGCCCGAGACGAAGGATTTGAGTCTCGAGGAGATTGGGCGGATGTTTGATCGCGGGAGGGGGCCGGAAGGGGAGGAGGTGGAGTTGGCGGATGTGGCTGGGAGACGGAGTGGGGATCTGGAGGAAGTGAGGGTGTAGTATGTGTAGTGTAGTGTAGACCTTTGAGCATTTGACATGTATGTTTGATTTTTGATTTCGGACTCGACTCGTCATTCCATATCGTTTCAACCTTCTACATCAACCTTTGCCCACCCAATCTGCCAGCCCAGATGCTCGCCTTCGAACAAGAACAATACACATGAAAAAAACTGCCAGATAGAGTATCAAATATTCGATAGAAATTACACATTTCGCACGCTTAGAGTTCGGCCAACCAGTCGAATCTACACAATAAAATAGCCCACCCACGCTTAAGTCGACTACTAGTCGATCGTGATAACATCCTGCCCTTGACCGGGTCTACCATTTGGCCTGCCCTGCGGCTGCTGCTGCTGCGGTGGACGACCGTTCTGCATCTGTGGTCTGCCATTTTGCTGTTGATTTTGTTGTGGCGGTCTCCGCTGGCCTTGCTGTTGCGCCTGTTGTTGGCGAGCTTGTTGCTGCAATCGCTGTTGGTTGGCTATTTGCTGCTGCTGCTGCTGCTGTTGGCCAGTCATTTGCGGTTGTTGGGCTTGTGGTTGCTGTGTTTGTGGTTGTGCAGCGGGAAGCACCAATGGAGGAGGAGCTTTGTATCCGCCTTCCATAGTACAGCTCAAGACGCACTCGTTGAGTTTGCTGAGCGCTTCGCCTACGCCATCGATTTCTGCAACAAGGCCGTTTCGTGTACCGAACCATCGCTCGCCCTTGCTCGAGAAGAACTCTTTCAGCTTTTCTTGCAGAGTCTCCAACCTCTGGTGAGTTGGGTATCTTTCAGGGGTTGGTCGTAGATCGGGTGTGTGCTTCTTCATGTTGTCTTCAATGAACCAGTACACCTTGTCGTCCTTTGGTTGCACGCGGACGTCGAAGGTGCATACGGGATTCTCGTAGGCGAGTCTGTACTTGAAAAGGGAGTGGACGTGGGTAGCTGGATTCCGTGCGTTGACGTTGGCATCGTTGGCTTCGAGAGCTTGAAGCGCAGTCACCAACGGGCGCGTGACCAAAAGCGTAGTACAGAAGCGATCAAGACCGTTGGCATCGCCGGTGAAGATACCCGGGAGTTGTTGGTTGTGGCTATTGGCAATGTCTGTGAGCATTTTGTGGACACGGTGATGTGGGTTCTTATGCGACATCTCAATAGCGATCTCCTTCTCAGCACCGAAGCTAACAGCGGCGACATGCGACGAAGGGCCGTATCGGAACTCCACACGCTGTAGTGATGAGGAGCCTAGGCGCATCTCACGCTTCTGTAGGGTCGTCGCAAAGGAACGAAGGCGATTAACATCTCGCAGTCGTCCTCGTAGCTCGCCAAGAATATCTTGTCCGAAGGGTGTCGACAGAAGTATCCTAAAGCTGCCATCGGCCGAGAACTTGAAGCCTTTTTGCGGTGAAGCTGCCATCAGCTTTTGCATGTCTGCGGCGACAGACGTTTTCATCTTCCCTGCCACGATGTGCCAGATAGTACGATCCCCAGACCGGAACCCCTGACATATTATGGCTAGATTTGACTCGAGCCAAGGCTCTTCTCCAGGCGGCGATGTCAATAGGTCGTTCGTATGCACGTGTAGCACCAGGCCTCTGGTAACACGTTCTGCCTGAGCCGTACTCTTTTGCTGTCCGAGCTCATACCGTAGACTGAATTGCTTCTTCTCCTTTTCCAGTTGCCGGACCGTGACACGAGCGGACAGGAGTTGCACGGCTACCCGCTCAAGACTTGCCAAGGTGCTGCGAGTGATTGCAAGTGTGCTTCCATCCGGGCGGTCCATCTTGATTTGCTCGGCATGCTCAATGGCTGTGCCATTCTTTCCGATTTCGAAGATCCACCATGAACTACCAGTAGCGTCTACTACATTTCCCAAAGCCCAGGTCGATGACCAGCCTCGTGGTGTGTACATGGCATACCGGATAACGGCCAACTTTACGGCAGATTTCACACTATCTGAAGGGAGGGCTGGCCGATTGATGTTATGCCATCCAAGCTGTTGCGCATGTTTCTGCACAAGCTCGTGTAGAGTTTGTGCCAAGACTTCAGTCAATATGTTAGCCATAACCTTCGGCTCCCTGCCTTGGTTGAACGCATGTTCCGCTCTAGCCGTCACATGGGTGGCGGGCTGTAAGATGTAGCTTCCAGTGACTGGTTCTAGGGACAAGGTTGCCGCATTGCCGCTAGTCCCCAAGGAAACTTGAAGCTTGCAGTCTGCCGGCTCAGAGTCTGACAGGCTTGATCCCGCAACAAGTTGCGGGTTGAGGCTCTCATGTGTCGATCGTAAGATGTCGCTAGCGTGGCACGCAATGATGCGCTTGATGACGCGTTCGAATGACAGGTTGTGCCAGTCAAAGTCGAGCTTGAAGTCCTTCACTTCCACACCTTGGCGGAACCAGCGCATATTGAGAGATGGCAGGGACTGCCCTCGCCATGACGACTTTCCTTTTCTAGTGTTGTTTTTCGAAATACCAAGTTCAATCCAGTTCTTCTTTGTAGGCCTGTCGGTCCAGTAGGAGACTACGAGCTCGCGGTGGACGTTCTCAACTTTTAGTGAGCCTGCCCACTCCGACCTCACAAGCGCTAGAGCCTGTGAGCGAAGGACGGAGATCTTGTGTGTAAGTACGAAGTTATTGAAAAAGTCGAACAGGCCGACCAGGCCCTTCTCTTTCGAGATTGCGTTGGCCTGCATCTGTACGCGTTCGAAGAAATGGCTATTCACTGTAATTGTTGGCGCCGGAGAAAAGAGCAATCGCAGGTCAACAAGCCACCATTGTTCCGAAGTGTCTTCAGAAAACGAGATGACATCAAACTCCAGCTCTTTGCCCATGACGAACGTGGTGCGCCCAGACTCTATCCGCCAGTCCTGCAGGTGCCGTGGAAGAGATTCGTGGACATTTAGCCGTATGGACATGGTAGTATTGACATATCGGAGGAGCTTAAGGGCCTGCTCTGGCGATATTGGCTCTGGAGGAATGTAGCCTAGCGATGGCATCCATGGCGCTTTTCCAGTTGACAAAATTTCAATTGCGGTGGCGATGTCTGGGTTCCGCTCTGCAGCAGCATTGGTGTAGATTTTGATTGCCTCGATCGCGCCAGGTAAAAAGTCGACGTGCTCCCTTTGCGCTGTTGCCCAAGCATACAA